CCGGCGGACGGGCCTGAGCTGAGCGGGTGTTTGGAGGGGCCCCGTGCAGAAGGGGACTCCAATGAATAAACGGTGTTACTAAGGGGTTTCCACAGAGGAACCCAAACATCCCCCCTCGTCAGTGCGCGAGGGCGTGTGGTGGCCCGGAGGCCGGGCGAGGGGCAGCGCGGGCCCCGCGGGGTCTTCCCAAGGGAGCCGGGAACGGGCACGAACGGCTCGCTCCGCGGGCGGCGGGCACTGGGGGCGCCTCTCACAGGCAGCCGGAAAGAGGGTCGCAGCGGAACTGTTTTCTAGGACTGAACCGCAGTGATTTATCGATTTTCTAAAGTCTACCCCCCTTTAATGTTCTTTTTTAACTTAGGAAGTTTCTGAGACTAAATCATGTAAATCTAATCAGATGTTATAGATACCTAAACTAGGTTATTAAATCGGGTAGCGTCTTAAAATGAAAGAAATGTGCTGTGAAGTGTGACCCTTCCTGTGGAGGCTTCAGCGCGGCCATCCGAGGGGCGTGTTGGCGGTACTGTAGTTAGAAGTGTAGGACGCGCGTGGGGGGCCGCGTCCTGAAGGCCACAGGAAGCGTGTCCAGGGGACCAAGGCCCTCAGGAGGAGGCTGGCGGCCGTGGGGCGTGTCCCAGACCCGCCCCTTCCCGTCTCCCTCCGTGAGGGGCTCTCCAGAGATGCCCCTGGACTGACACCCCCGGCCTTGTCCTCGCAGGCTGCAGTGGCATCGTGAAACCTGCCCAGCCCAGCGGGCCTGAGGGCGTGCCCCACTATGCAGAGGCTGACATCGTGAACCTCCAGGGTGTGACAGGGGGCAACACCTACTCAGTGCCCGCCGTCACCATGGACCTGCTCTCCGGAAAAGACGTGGCGGTGGAAGAGTTCCCCCGGAAACTCTTAACTTTCAAGGAGAAGCTGGGAGAAGGCCAGTTTGGGGAGGTGAGTTGGATCTTTGAGTGGGGCCTCCAGTCCTTGGTCGCTCAAAGGTGGTGGCCGAGTAAAAGCGTCCAGCAGAGCAACACGTCCCCCAGAGGGGATTCACACACAGCTGTCTCCTGCACTTGTCTGTACTCGCGTGGTCCTCGGGAAGACTGGTGTTGGGTCACCCTCATCTTGGCCAAACACCGGTGGAGTTCCCGGCTGCTCTGGTCTCTGTGCAGGAGTTTTTGAAGCAGGCAAGTCACCAGGCTCTTTAGATATCCTGAAAAACTCAACATTTGCAAAACTTTTACAATAGGTTACAGAGGGTGGGGACCCACAGATGCAGTCATCTTTTCTAAACTGTCCAAGAACACCCTGCTACTCTTAGCCACTTTGTTTTTCCCTTTTCATGGGAGTTCCGTGTAAAAGGGTCACAAACAGCCTCGCCCTGCCGCTGGCCTCAGGGTCGCCCTGGAGGGCGTGAATCACCGGCTGTGATAAGGAGGCACAGGCCTCTCTAGCCCTGCGTCCTGCAGGAGGATGTGGCTTGTCACTCCTCCGGCAGCCATGTGAACCTTCGAGAACTCAAGGCAGTGGGGGCTCCGGGACACGGCCCCCCCACTCCAAGTGTTGTTCTTGGTTCAACAAGCACGTGCTCCTGGTTTTGGGTGGTTCGGTGCTGGGAGGAGGTGGAAGGGTCCATGGCATCTGCTTCTGGTGTGATGTGTACTCACTGTCCCCTGGGTTCAACACGCAGGCTCATTGTGCTGTTTTAACACATGGGCGTTGCTAATGCTGAGGCTGTACTGACCAGTCAGCTCACAGAGGGACTCGCCTTGCGTTTTATATGATCCGGTGACTCAGCATTCTTGAATCCGAGTTCAAGCATTTACCGTGTTCCAAGTGGTGTTTTATCCTGAGCTACGCTGTCATAAAATACTGTGTTACGGATACACCCACTCACGTAGCTGGTGTTCCGATCAATGTATATTTCCTTTTCAGCACAGTAACACCTCATGCTGTCTTTATCAATTATTTGGATCAAAGACAGTGACACACACCTTCTCATCCATCTGTGAATGTGTTGCTTGAGTTGTAAGCGTTAGTTTATCCCCAGGAAGTGCCCGCAAGCACTGAGATGCCTTCGGCAGACCTGATGACGCTGAGACTAGGTGACTTTTGTCTAGGTTCATCTCTGTGAAGTGGAGGGAATGGAGAAATTCAAAGACAAAGATTTCGCCCTGGACGTCAGCGCCAAGCAGCCCGTGCTGGTGGCCGTGAAGATGCTCCGAGCAGACGCCAATAAGAACGCCAGGTCTGTGGCCGCATTTTCAGTTTTCCTTCGCGTGTTTCATCCGCAGGCCCGGGCTATACTTCTGGAGAAGTCTGAGCAGCCTTCCCTGTGACCTGGGAGGTCTGTGAGTGGCCTTGCGTTTCCATGGTTACGCCTTCCTTTTTGGACACGTCCCCAGTCCCCCTCTCTGTTCTCCGTCTCCCTCAAACACAAACACACACTTCCTACTGTAATTGCTATATGTTTCCTTGCCGCCTTCTGCACAGAGCTGTGTTTCCCAACATTCTGACCATGTGCTGCTGCTGTCATCATCGGGACGGCTTCCTGAAGGTCACTCCCTCCGCTCGGCAAGCTTCTCAGGCACACACACCTCCCTTCCTAAGCCTCCCCCATTCTCCTTCATCCCCATTTACTTTCTCTCCATCTTTTCCCCTTTTATGCTCTTTTTCTTCTATGTCCAGCAACCCCCCAAAATGAGAAGCTACCTCTACTTGGAAAAGTACCCATGGACCTCAAAGCAAAAGGATCCACAGTCCTTTAGCAGTTTTCCAAAGTGGGGTCCTTTCCTGTATAAATCGCGCTGTCCGACAGCCTTTCCGTGGCAGTGATGGTGAGGTAAACCTCACCCAGGGAAGTGTGCGGCCTGGAAGCTGCTTGGCTGTGTCTCGGGAAGCCCACTTCTGGGGACAGGAGCACTTTCCCGTTGGTCATTCATCTCGCTGTACTCAGAGCGAGAGAGGTTCATTACCCCCAGTCTCCAAGTTACCGCAAATTCCAAAAATGGTGATAGGGTCTCCCGAAAAGTCTTGCAGTTGACAGAATGTGGAATGAAGAAGAAACGAAGTGAGGGAGCCAAGCTGTGAGGTTTGGGAATGTCTGTCTTAGGGACCTGAGTCTGAATGACAGGCGGCATCGTCTGGGTCCCACAGAGAGACGGAGTAGCTCCGGTACCCGTCTCAGCACACGACAGAGTGGGACAAGCACGGCCACAGGACATGACCAGGCTTTGACCCATCGTCCTGTGTGGTGGGTTTGGCGTCCCTCCGCCTGTGTCCACTCCCCTTCAGTGGACGGCCTGACTCTGGGCCCTGCCAGGCCATGGGAGGCCCTGCTTGGGGCTGACGTGGTTCCTGTGGTTTGGGGTTTACACTGATAGAGCCCCACTCCCGGTCCAGCATTCCTAGAGAACTCACAGGAGACCACCGATCTGCTCCGGTGGGCGTGGGAATGTGGGCTGGTGGCCAGATGCTGCCCCTGGAAAGGCCACAGTCCACTTGGTGACTCAAGGGTGGCTGTCACCAAATACAGTTATTAGTCTTGGCCAAACACCACCCCACACCACCATCGTAAACTTTACGCAGCTCTGTTTGGAATGTTTGGACTGAAGAAAAGCCAATGTGAGAAGGAGACTCAGCAGATAGACCAGGGGCGACGATAACTTTGTACAAAGCTGCTTCGCTCTATTAGTAGAGTGACTCCGTGGCTTTTTAAAAGGACAGATTCTCCAGTGTCCTTAAGATGTAATTCCCACTGTCCCGCTCCACCTGTCAGAGTGGCTTGGGGCCCCCGGGGTTTGGTTCAGCAGACATGGGTCAGTTTCTGTGTGGTAGGCGGTTTGCTGGGTACCAGAGATGCGGGCGTGAGTAGGTGCTGCGTCCCGCTCACAAAAAGCTGACAGTGGCGCAAGGGCCGGCGCATCCCGGGCGGGCGGAGTGAGACCGTCCCGGGGCCGACACTGTCCAGGTGCCGACTCTGCCCGCGCACAGGTTACGGGCGGGGAGTGGACTTGGAGCCGTGGGGAGGGCGGGGCTTCCCCATGTCCACTTCCCCCCACGCTGACCGGCGACCCCGTGCGCCCTGTGTCCCCCACAGGAACGACTTTCTGAAGGAGATAAAGATCATGGCGCGCCTGAAGGACGCGAACATCATCCGGCTGCTGGCCGTGTGCATCGCCGACGACCCGCTGTGCATGATCACCGAGTACATGGAGAACGGCGACCTCAACCAGTTCCTGTCGCGCCACGAGCCCCCCAGCGCGCCCGCGGGCAGCGTGCCCACCGTCAGGTAGGCGCGTGTGGGCGCCGCGGCCCGGGGTCCCTCCGCGCGCAGGGGCCGCGGGGCAGCCGGGCGGGCCGCGGTCGCGCGTGGGACGGGCCTCCGCTGTGCCTCCGGCGGGCCCTCCCACGGGCCGCTTCCGCTCGTGTTTCCCCAGCTATGCCAACCTGAAGTTCATGGCTACGCAGATAGCCTCCGGCATGAAGTACCTTTCCTCCCTCAACTTCGTGCACCGAGACCTGGCCACGCGCAACTGCCTGGTGGGCAAGGACTACACCATCAAGATCGCCGACTTCGGCATGAGCCGCAACCTGTACAGCGGCGACTACTACCGCATCCAGGGCCGCGCCGTGCTGCCCATCCGCTGGATGTCGTGGGAGAGCATCCTGCTGGTGCGTGGGGGGGCGTGGAGTGGGGTGCGTGGGCGAGCGTGCGTGGGGTGTGGGGGCGT